GACTCTGTCTGAGGATGGACCAAGAATCGGGCACCAGGAGGAACAGAAAGATGACTATGTGTATGATATTTACTACTTGGAGACGGCCACTCCAGGATGGATTGAGAACATCCTCTCTGTGCAGCCCTATTGCCAGGAGTGGGAGCTGGTAAGAGGGCCCATGTCAGGATGAGGGGCATGAAGTAGCCTAAACAGTTCTCTGGTCTGGGTGCTTTGCTTGTGTTCCACATTACCTGTATTCCTGTGTTGCACGTTGTCTCTTAACTCTTGTCCTTGTTTAAATGGAAAAATTTATTCTGAATGCCTTTAGGAACCTGGGTTTAGTGCAGGGAATTTTGAGAATGACAGTCTACACTGATAATTTTTGCTCTTAGTAGATCTTTTACAAGGTTTGCAACATCACTTTTATCATTTATAACATCCACTTCAGGGGAAAATATATTTCCCATATAGGGGCTAATAATAAAGACAAAATAAACCAGAAATTCTTAACATGAATGGGAATAAAAACTTTTTTTTTTAAACTGGATCTTAAAAGGGAAGAAACCTTGGATTAAGAAAACTAACATCCTGACATCTTTTTTTTTTTTTTTAAGCAATCTCTATACCCAGTATGGGACTTGAACTTACAACCCTGAGATCAAGAGCTGCAGCTCTATTGACTGAGCCAGCCAAGCACCCCTTGACATCATTATTAAAACAAATTCTAGGGGATCCTGGGTGGCTCAGTGGATTAAGCCGCTGCCTTCGGCTCAGGTCATGATCTCAGTGTCCTGGGATCGAGCCCCACATCGGGCTCTCTGCTCAGCAGGGAGCCTGCTTCCCCTTCTCTCTCTGCCTGACTCTCTGCCTACCTGTGATCTCTCTCTCTCTGTCAAATAAATAAATAAAATCTTTAAAAAAATAATAAAATTTAAAAAAAAAAAACAAATTCTAAAATGAGGCAAGGCACCTTATCCCATACCTGCATTGCAACCATAGCCTCTCAGTTAGGCACCCACCTTGGACCATTGCATAGCCTCTCTTCCTGAACACCTCACACTTGAGTTTTGGTTCTGATTTTGGGCATCACCCATAATCCATATGATCTCTCTCCCACCTGACTGTCCACTTAAAGATCACTGCCAACACCTACTCAGAGCTGTCTCTCCTCCCCACCATGGTGTGTACGCCTCTGGAGGTCATCCTGTCCTGCTAGGAGTGTGATGGCTGGAGCTAGACTCTGAGGGGGGAGTAGGCCTGCCATCTCTACCTTGTAGCCCAAGGTTACTATGGCCTCTTGTGTAGCAGACTCAGAGCAGCTCCTAGGCTGCCTCTTTCCCAGACGGTGCTCTTAAGTGATTTTTCCAAGTTGGTCTGCTGATAGCTTCCCCCACAGCACAACCTTAGAAGTTTTGACTTATACTCAGGTTTGTGTTGAGATGTGCAGGTGAATGATGACCAGGAACCAGAAGATATTTATGAAGATGACGATGATGAGAACAGTGAGAGTAACTGGCGCAATGAGTATCCAGAGGAGGAGAACACGGACGGAGAGGAGTCCAGAGGTACAGGGATGGCAGTCTTGGATGGGAAGGGACCGGTGGGATCCAAGACTGAGGTGTGAGCATAGTTACCATCTTAACTGTACAACTTACCTGGCTTTCCTTCTCTGCTGTTGAACTCCCAACAGCTCAGCCACAAGCTGTTGGAGCTGTAATAGGAGCCCTAAGAACTGGTGTTTCCAAAGGACCTGCTGGGGTTTTAATGTCAGTCAGGCCCAGGTTCAAATCCTTAGTCTGTCATTGCATGTCTGTACATCTTGGGGAAGTTACTTCACCTCATCCTCTCTCCAGAAAACAAGAGTATTGCACTAACTTCAGTGATTGGGATTAAGGGAAACATCTCAGCTCAGTGTCTCTACTCCTGCTTCAGTCAGGAAGGTATTGGAGAGGTTTGCCAGTCAGAGTAGGGCTAGGATTTTAACAAATCAGTTATCTAACTTCTCAAGAAGTTGCTGTGTTTACATTTTGAGAAAGATGCCACAGAGATATGGTACTTGGGGGAAAGAGGAAGGAAAGATATTCTGATGATACAGTTCCTTCAGGGATTATGTTCTTTGTACCAACAAAAAGATTCCTTGGTGTCTGTTAATGGAGGGACAATTAATTAAACTATGAATATTCTACTGGGGAAGTACCTGTGATATGTTAAAAGGATAGGGACAAACGTGAAATTATGTTTACAGTATGACTACAACTATAGTAATAAAAAGAAATCCTATACCTAGGGGAGAAATGAAAAACTACTCCAGTGTTAAGGGATTTGGTTTAGGTGGTAGAAACGGGATTGCCTTTTTTTACCGCCCTAAATTCTCTTTACTGAGCAAGTATTTTAGAAGGGAGAACAACAACAAAATATGACCCAAAAAACAGACCTTCTTGAGATGGGAAAGAGTTACAGTGGTCACCTAGAAACTCAAACAGAGGCCATTCCTTTTACCATTCTAGGCTCAGATGATTATGACAGCCTCAGCGAAGAGGAAAGAGGCAACAGCAGACCACAGATGTGGAGCAAATACCCTTTGGATGTGCAGAAGGAGTTTGGCTATGACAGCCCCCATGACCTGGATTCAGACTGATGTTCCTGTGATACCTGTGAAGTTCAGTCATGTGCCCTGAGGTCTCTGCCTGCAGCTTTAGCCACCCTGGTAACATCCCTGGGTTTTGTAGCTTAACACAAAAGGAAAAAGCATGTCCAGCAGCGCCATCCTGTCAGTGGAAACTTGAGCTAAAGGAATTTGTCTTTTTTAATAACAGTAGGGCCCCTTTACCTCAATCAAAAATGACTCTACAGTCTAGGGGGAATAAATGCCATAAAAGTGAAGCTTCCTGGCCTGAGGATATTCCCGTTCTCCTCCTATGCTAAAGCCAATAAGTGGAAGAGAAACTCCTGTTTCCTTAGCACTAAGCTTTAACTTTCCCATACCACCAGGCCACTGCCTCTACTAAAAGCCGGTTCTTTTGATAGAATCTAGAAGGGCTACATTGGGTCCCTAATAGCAGCACCAACAGGATAGTGGTGGCTGTTAGAGAGGGAAGTAGACTCTGCCTGAGCTCTGAGAAGTTTTAAGTTATTAGCTGTCTCCACTGCCCTGCTTCCTGACTCAGATAATGGTTGTAGAGACTGCTATCTTCCTTTGGCAATGGTGCCAGGGAGAAAAGGATGTATGAATGTGATACTCTGTTTAGTAAAAATTAAAGGGAGCAAGAAAATTCCTTGAAAACCTTTTTTTTTTTTCCTTTTTTAAAGATTTATTTATCTGAGAGAGAACACAAGCTGGAGGAAGGGGCAGAGGGAGAGATGGATCCTCAAGAGACACACCCCCCCCACCCCACCCCCGCCAAAGCACAGAGCCCAACGTCGGGACCGGGGAGAGGGAGGATGCAGGGGAGTGATTCCGGGACCTCGAAACTATGACCTGAGCTGAAATCAAGAGTTGGCCACCTACCCCACTGAGCCACCCAGGTGCCCCTACTTAAAAACCCTTTAAATCTGAGTCTTTTTTTTAATTAACATATAGTGTATTATTTGCCCCAGTTTTTTTGTTTTGTTTTTTAAGATTTTATTTATTTGAGAGAGAGCACGGGGGGTGGGGTTGAGCAGAGGGAGAGGGAGAAGCTGGCTTTCCCCTGAGCAGGGAGCCTGACACAGGGCTTGATCCCAGGACCCTAAGCCAAAAGCAGACACTTAACTGACTGAGCCACCCATGTGCCCCAGATCTCAATGTTTTTACATGTTTTCCCACTGTACTCACTCTCTCCCATCCCCACCCTCCACCAAAAATGGGGTGGGGGGGTTAGTGAGACAGGTTTCAGGATTAACCGTAGACACTAAGGACTTCAGGCAAGTGAGGAAAAGGTAAACATATCCTAAACTTAGCTTTCCAATGAGAAAGGTCAGCTATTCACAGCACTCACCAAAAACAGTGACCAGTTCTATTACCAAAACTTAGGTTCCCTATAAGGAAAACCTGACCCTACTTCTTTGCATACCACAAACCTCTTAACTCTGAGTCCGCATTTATTCTTCTAATGTAACATTGTCCCATAGAACCTTGTGCAAAGATGGATATGTTCTATATCTGCACTGTGTAGTAGTAGCCACTAGCCACATGTGGCTCAGCTCTTGAGAAGTTCACCTGAGGAATCAGATTTTTTATTTAAACTAGCTCCATGTGGCTAGTAGTTACTATACTGGACAGCACAGGTCTGGGAAAACAATACACAGAACCTTTGATTCAAAATGTGCTTTCTTGGGACGCCTGGGTGGCTCAGCTGGTTAAGCTGCTGCCTTCGGCTCAGGTCATGATCCCAGCGTCCTGGGATCGAGTCCCACATCGGGCTCCTTGCTTGGCGGGGAGCCTGCTTCTCCCTCTGCCTCTTCCTGCCACTCTACTCTGTCTGCCTGTGCTCGCTCTCGCTTCTCTATGACAAAAAAAAAAAAAAAAAAAAGTGCTTTCTTGCCACGTGCCACAAACTCACTATCATGTACACGGAGGTATGTCTCCTTCCCACACCTTTTAAGATTTCATATTCTTCCATCCTGCCTCCACCCATTCTTCACTATGTATTCATTTTGAGGGTCTTCACCTACATTAGTTCCTACTCATGTTAAACCATCTTAAGGGGTGAAGTTCTGTGTGTTCACATACTCAGGCTCTACTCTTGTGGCTAAAAAACCAACAATCTATTGATTTACCATCCTAACTCTCCACAAAGGTACAATTCAGTGTTGCAAGCAACAGGCAGCAAGTTATATGTATGACACTAGTCATCTCAGTCTCCTGTAGGCATAGAAACAAAGGATTAAAAACCACTCCGTGCCATTATAATGTGCTCACTGCTGTTTATGTACTCATTAAGGTTTGCCAACATCAAAGGGCTGACAATCTCATACTGTACCTACTGCAAAAGAGATTAGCACACCAGGAGAAGGATTGAAGGAGACGAACAACAAAGACCTTGCAGAAATTTAATTCCACCATGAAGCTTGACTGCTGTAGGGAGTCTCTGGCTTCCCTCCCACAGAAGGGTTTCTGGGTGAAGTCTGTATCCAGCACAGAGGGGAAGAATGCAGTTGCCATCCAGTAATGAGAGGGGGATGACATGGCTCACGAAGCTTGTGCTGGGGCACTTAGGGTGTGAGGCCCATGCTTCCCCCAGGAGCCACTAGGGACAGCAAGTTCCTGGGATTAGCTGGTCATTTACTTCAGGGGAGAGAGCTAAAACCTGGGTCAGGGATCCTTAAGACAAGCACACTCTGCTTAAAGGATTAGCTCCAGAGGATCCCTGGGATAGGTGCCATCTTGGCTCAGACAGGAGTCATGTTTACGTACTCTAGGCAAGTCAGCCTTTGCATAAGACTCCGTTGCCAGAAAGGAATTTGCTGTGCAAATCCCCAACCCATGACAGTAGGCATGTCCCCTCATTTTCTCATCCATGCATGCCCTAAACCGAAGGCAGCTGTGCCCATGGCTCCCCTAAATTGTCCTTATTAAACAAGTATGGCCAAGGTTACTCCCCTGACTGCAACTGAAGCCACTTGATAGAAAAGAATGGTCAGAAAGAGAGATTGCCTCATAGTTCTTGTCTTTACCGGTGACCAGTTCTAAAATGAAAGGATAAGATGTCCAGGCATGGAGTTAGCCAAGTCAGCAGGTTCCTCTGGACCCAGGATGACAGTGTCTGGAAGCATCACAGGACAGCTGTACAGTCCACTGCAACCATGGCTGCCCATGAGGGAACATCCATGAGGCCAAGCCTACTCTGGCCTGACCTGGATGCTAAAAGCACACCCTGAGCACCAGAATTAGTTACTTCCAATCATGCAGTCTGCTGAGGAGCCAGATTGAGGTTGAAGCAGCTTTGTCCCCCAAAGTCTTCTCTGATCTCCACAAGGAGAAAATAGAAGTCCACACAAGTACCAAGCTCTTCCTGAGACTGCAGGCCCACCAGACCTCCAGCAAGGGAGGCAGACAGGACAGGAATGCACTATCCTGATGATCCACACCAAGACAGTTCAGAGTGTAAACAAAGCTCAGTGCCCGGGACAGAAGAGGAGGATGCAGTCTGGTGTGAGGTTTTCGGAAAAGGGCAATGACCACTTCTAGCACCAAGGTGGGCTTGCGTGGGTCTGCACAGCAGTCCCTCACACCAGCCCTTATAGACAGAAACAAGCTATTTGGTGGCTTGAGTCCATGAGATGTTCTCTAAGCCATTGATGGCTGAGAGAATTCAGGTAATCCACTTGAATTCTAAAACAGTTTATGTCCTCCTAAAGGTCATACCAGGAACCGGAGGTTTACCTTCTATCATCTAGAATAAAGACCTGAGGTCTCAAGTAAAATAAGGGATTATCCTTCAAAATAGCAATATTTCAAACTTCTGACTCATGAATTTTTTCATTTGTCCTTGCTGATTTGAGCCAGGTGCTTATATAATCTGTGACCTACTGACTAAAATGTAACCAATACACGAGTAAAAAAAAAATCTTTAAAGTTCATTTTTGCAGCTAAGACTCAACAGAAGACTGTGCTAAAACCAAGCAAAAAAATCTGTGGTCAGAGGCTGACCCACACCAGCACACAGAGACACCTCTAAGGGCAGAGGGACTCGGTTGGGAGTATTTTGAGTTTTTAAACACAGTCAGCTTATTGCATCCTGAAGATGAATGAACACCAGTGCTCTGTCAGAACTGGTGTCCTGGACTAAATAATGTCAATAAATAATGAAATACAGCTGTCTTCCTAGGGAAAGATCTTGAGTCAGAGGAAGAAATGGTAGCATTTTAGGGCTCTAGAGTCAGGTGTTTGGACCTGATCAGAGGAAACCTTCCCATAAAGCAGCCCCTTTGTAGAGGCTCCTGATTCAAACCTCAAATAACAAATTCCGAACCGCCAGCCACACCTATTAACCTAGCACTCCCTCTTCCCTCAGTGCAGTTGCCCAAGTGTTTGGTAAGCTATACCGACTCAACCAGGAATAAAACTGAACTATTCCCCTGACCAAGCCCTCCCCACCACCACCCTCTATGTAAAGTTCCCACCCAGGCTGGCCTTGGACCCTGAGTCTCCTCCCACAGCTTACCAATGAGAGTGACCGCCAGAGCAGGCCATCAGCCCTGAGTCCCCCTTATATAATGTGGGCCACCAGACTCCTTTAGGACAAGAGGGTTAGGCCTGCAGTCTTGTCATCTGGACTTTGGTGGCTGGCCTTCCAGGCCTCAAGGGACATCACATCTGGCCTCTAGTCCGTTTTCCTCTCAACCTTTTTCTCTTCTGCTACATCAAGCTCAGTCAGGACACAAAAGCAAAGCTGCTGGGTGACTCTGGTGACAGCAGCTAAATGAAAATAGAGAACAGAATTCAGCAAGCTGACAGCTACAACTTCAATATGAACACCCCAAAGTTGATTAAAGCATATCTGTGGTTCCCTCCCACCTGTCGCCTGGGTATACTGCACCAGGCTTTGCCTGTTACCACCAGCAAGCATCACTGTCCTTCATTCCGTGCCCAACCAGAAAGTGATGCATGACTCACCTTCCCACATGGATTGCACTTTAAAAAGGGAGTGTTCTAAGCCAAAAATAGGACTCTAAGGTTAGAACTAAAGTGCTCATGTCAAGATCAAAAGGGAAGAAGTCATTTGGTGCAACCAGGTCTCATGGTCTCCAGCATATCACTAGTATAACGGAAGCTGTTAGCCACCAATCCCACCTCTGCATGCATCTGTGGGCACGCATGTACGCACACACACACGCCATGAGTAATGGGCAAAGAAGCTCACCCAGGACATTCCGAATAAGGACTGGCCTCTGGGACTCAGGCAAGTAAACACCCACGAAGTAGACAGGAATCCCAGAGAGGGCAATCCCGATGCCAATGAGGGAATTGATGGTGTCACTGTACAGTGGCACAATCACCAGAAACAAGGAGCATATGCAGAACACGATGGGAAAAAACAGGCTCAGCTGAAATGGAGGGAGGTGAGATATTAGGTAAAGTGCTATGGGGAACAGGGTACAGAGAAGTCACTTTGGGGAGATGGCCCACCCCCCCAGCCTGTCCAGAGTCACTGACCTTGAGAGGCCGGGGTCGCTCGGGCTCCTTCCAGCGAAGATAGAGCTGTCCAGCAACAGACAGGCCCACAAAGAACCAATAGCTAAAGCTGAAGTAGTTGATGAGCAGGAAAACATCTTCCACGGTGAGGTAGATGAGTGTCATGGTACACTGGAGGGGGAGGGGATGGAAGGAGGAGTGGGCATTGTCACCACCAGGCCATCCCAGGATACTCCAACCACCCAGCAATCAGTACCAGGTCTGCTGCTCACTGCTGATTTAGCTTACCAGGTTACCTCCAGTTATTTTCAGTGACCCCTTGGCATCAGATAGGTCTAACTTCTGTATTAACCTTCAAAGTGGCATTGAAGGGTTCTTCCTATACACAATGCCTCCCTTCTTTTTGCAAGCACTTTAATAAGCCAGACTCCTTTCCCCTTCTGATGGCAGAGTGAGGTCCTCCTCACTTTGATGCACCAACCTCAATATGAACCACATTGCCATCTGGATACCATTACTCCCGAGTCTAAACTACCTGGCATACAAACGGAATAAATGCCTCCAGAACCATCTCACTGTCCTGGGGTCTTTAAAATGCAGACTGACAAAATGGATCTATACCCCTGATAAGAGAGGTATGACAGAATTTGCCCTCTGGAACAAGAGTCCTAGAAGACAGAAATCGGGGACTGCAGTCCTGTGACATGGTCAGATTTACTTAATCTTCAAGAATATGGAGATCCCCCCTAACTAGTCTTTTCACCCAGATTACCAACAAAGGATTTAAAACAAAAAGGACCCATTCTGGGGAAAGAAGAGGGACTGTATTGGAAAAACAGGGGAAGAAGATGATTAAAAGACAAGATGTCAGATCTCCCCTAAATTTATAAATTCAATGTGATTCCAATCAATATACTGAGAGGATTTTTGTTCTTTTGACAAAATAACAAAGTTCATAAGGACAAACACAAACATGGGATAATTGCCAGGAAAATTCCAGGGGCAAGAAGAAACTAATGAAGTATCATCAGTCCCACTTTAAATTTCAGAAATCCAGTACAAAGCTAAATAATGAAACTTGACACTGATAGGAAGGGTTGAGCTGATGATAACTATGTAAGGGGTATATAATTATACTTGGCATATATGAAGCACTATCTACTATATATAAATCTATGACATGTAGGGGCACCTGGCTGTCTCCTCAGTGGAGCATGTGACTCTTGATCTCAGGGTTGTGAGTTCAAGCCCCATTTTGTGTGTGGAGATTACTTAAAAATAAAATCTTTTTAAAAAGAAATCTATATAAAGTCTATAATATGAAAAGAAGTCCCTGGGTAGTTGGTATACAACTGGCTTGGCTTTTTAAAAATAATTTAATTAAAGGGGCACCTGGGTGGCTCAGTGGGTTAAACCTCTGCCTTTGACTCAGGTCATGATCTCAGGGATCCTGGGATTGAGCCCTGCGTTGGGCTCTCTGCTAGCAGGGAGCCTGCTTCCCCCTCTCTCTGCCTGCTTCTCTGGCTACTTGGATCTCTCTCTCTGTCAAATAAAATCTCTCCCTCTGTTAAGTAAAATCTTTAATTTAAAAAAAATGATTTAATTAAAATCAACCAAAAAAAAAAAAAAAAGGGACACCTAGCTGGCTCAGTCAGGGGAACACAGGACTCTTAATATCAGGGTCATGAATTCAAGCCCCATATAGGGCATGGAGGCTAGTTAAGAAAAATTCAGGGATGCCTGGGTGGCTCCATCAGTTAAGCACTCAACTCTTGATTTTGGCTCAGTCATGATCTTAGGGACGAGATCAAGCTCCATATCAGGCTCTGTACTCAGTATAGGGTCTGCTTGGGATTCTCTCTCTCACTGCCCCTCCCCCTGTTCACACTCTCTAAATAAACAAATAAATAAAATCTTTCAAAAATAAAAAAATAAATTTTACAAATTTATTTTTATATTCTTTTGTACCATTTGCCTTCTCTCATATGTTTTATATTTTTAGAAACACCGAGTGTCTTGGGAAATACCTTAAGAAGCTAGTATACCTCCTACTCACAGTCATCTCATAAAGTCAGCAAGAGTACCACAGTTCTCCACACTCCCCCAGCAGAGCTTACATTGAACAGTAAAGCAGGGATGGGTGTAAAACGCTCAATGTGGATCATGGACAGAACATCTGGGAGGTGGCCCTCACGGGAGCCCACGAAGAACAACCTAGAAGGATAAGAAGTGTGTCAGGATGATCCTTTCACTAGGCCATGTAGTCACACTCCTCACTTGACAAACTAGGCTCAGAACTCCACAAAAACACAGGAGGCAGTCCTCTCAGAGGAGTATCCCATGTATTGTATGCATGCCCAACCCCCACCCTCACCCCTCAACTTTTACCCATAGATATCTCCAACCTCCAACCATGGGTACTTCCAGTGTTAACCAAGAATGTCCTACCTCTCTCTTGGCCGTGGACACCCCTGAGCCCCTCAGCCATGAAACCCACCATCACCCAGTGGATGCCTCACCTTGCCATCACTCACTGCTACCCCAATACATTCCATCAGGGGTACCCCCACTCTACCACCTCACAGATTTCATACTTTACACAATGGCTTTTTTAAAGAAGGGCAGCAAGCCTTCTGTGCTCTCTGTATATTTTCCCTGAGCTCCTGATACAGGATAGGCCAGGACAAGCCTGGGCCTCAGAGACAACCCAGGCTTCCTCTATGTCCCCAAAGAGCCCTACTGTTTGAGAAATAGAGCAGGAGGGAAAGGAACTACCATTCAGTGTAGACAGCATCATCATGGAGCATAAAGCACTCACCAGCCTGGGGGTGAGCTGGGGGAACAAAAAACTTCACAAGAGATGACCACATCTGGGCTAGGAAGAACTGGAGTTTGCCAGAAGGTGAGCAAATGGGTGGAAAACAGCGTAGGCAACAGCAAAAGAAGCATGAAGGAGTGAAAGAGGGTGACCTCCTTGAGGTTGGCAGTAGAATGCCTGCAGTCCCAGGTTAAGGTGTGTGAGGAAACAGCTGAGAAGACCCTGCAGCTGAGGCCACGCTGTGGAGTCTGAACAAACAATGAGAGTCTGCTATGGCTCTGAAGTAAAGGCTTGACAGCATTTTGGCAGAGACTCTGGTGGCATCATGGAGGCCAACTAAAGCAGGGAGAGACTAGCGGACAGGGAGGAGGCCAGATAAGAAAGTAATCTGTGGGGTGCCTGGGTGGCATAGTCAGTTAAGCCTCCCAACTCCTGATCTGGGCTCAGGTCATGATCTCAGCGTCAGGGGCTCCAGCCCCGTGTCCTACTTCGTGCTCAGCACAGAGTCTCCTTGGGACTCTAGCCTTCTGCCCCTCCCCCTACCTCTCAAATAAATAAATCTAAGAAAAAGTTTATCTGTGATAACTGTCCCATAAGAGAGGAGGCCTGAATGAGGGTAGACACCCTGGCTGAAGAGCAAACAAGACAGATGTGACCACCTCAATCAAATCTGGTGATCCTTTGCTTGTGCGTGTGTGCGCGCGCGCATGCAGGTACATGTTGGAGCTGGAAGAGCGTGAACACCAAGGGAAAAATAAAGAGGCCCAGCAAGGAGAACGGATAGCACACAGCATCACAGCTAAAGACAAAGCCCAAGTGGAGGGCACTGAGATACTCGTGAGCCGCCCAGATGGCGCCACAGGAGTTGATGAGACCATCTGGAAAGGTCACAGGGCAAGACAGGAGGAGTTGGCCCACACAGGTTAATAACCTGTACTGGGCAGAGAAGAAATATGGTAGAGGGGATGCTGGAAGGGGACTGTGTGCGGGCGCAGCAAAAGTGTCTAGTATAAAGCCAGAGATAAGTACATAGGTAATAAAAAGTGAGAAGTTAACAAACAATTGTGCATTACCTCTACATCCCCGTAGTCCCCTTACTTGCTGGTCCAGACTCTAACTCTCAGAATCCCCTATCCCCACTCCCACCCTGTCAATGCCACAATAGAGCTGAGTGAGGTTAAAAAGCACCTATCGTGCAAATATTTTAAGAAGACTGACAGAGCCAGCCGGAATGTCTTGGGAATCACTAAGGGTCAGTCTATGGGAAACCCCATCTTTGGGTGCAGTAACTTATGAAGAGTCACATCCGGGGCACCTGGGTGGCTCAGTGGGTTGAGCCTCTGCCTTTGGCTCGGGTCATGATCTCAGGGTCCTGGGATCGAGCCCCGCATCGGGCTCTCCATTCAACGGGGAGCCGGCTTCCCTATCTCTCTCTCTGCCTGCCTCTCTGCCTACTTGTGGTCTCTCTCCCTGTCAAGTAAGTAAATACAATCTTTAAAAAAAAAAAGAGTCACATCAAGTGCAACCTTAGCCATACCAGGTTGAAGTAAGGGAAGATGACACCACACTGTTTTCCAAGACTTTGATCTATTACTCTGGTCACCCTAGGGAGGCCCCAAGTACATGGACTGTGGTGTCAAAACCAGTAAAAAGAATAAATAGGACAAAAATTATTTCTTTTATTAATTCATCCTCTTACCTGTTCATGTAGAAAATATTTATTGAATGCCTACCATACTCCCAGCCCTAGGGACAGCAACATTTATACGGTGAGTGAAAGAGAAATCAGGAAAGAAGACTTCCTCTCAAATATCAGAGAGTCACAAAGTCACAGGAATAGTTTCAGAAGTAGAGGGCCATAAGCATCACTTGCTTCAGGGATCCAATAGGATAAGGACCAAAAGCAGGCTAAGAAGGAGGTCATAGGTCCACTTACTAATATTTTTTAGATAGTAGAAGTCAAAGTATAATGGCTAGAAAAATGAGTGACCGTCAAAATGCAGACCATTCCCTCCAGAAGTGTGTCCAGTAAGGAGGGAGATGAGAAAAGCTGTTTTGTGACTTCACTAAGCGGAGATGAGAGAAGCCGATGCAGAGTGGGCTCCTACTGAACATCTGCCAAAGAGAAGAGCCAAGCGATGAAGCAAAGTGCTAAGAGGGGGTAGTGCTGGGGCCCCGAAACCAGGTAGCACAGTCAGCCTGGAAAAGCAGAACTGTTCCTTTCTCTGAAACAACAGGAAGGACAAATTCTCTTATAGACAAGTCTCCACACAGAGAGGAGAACAGAGCCTACCTGTCAGCTTCAGTGATTTCTGTGAAGTGAGGGGCACAGTGTACCAAGTGTACCAATACCTGGTCCACAACAAGTGACCACTAATATTCTTATCTACACCAAGCTATAACCTTGCTCCCCTGTACCTCTAACCAATCTGTCATCACCGCAGATCGAACTGTGAGCTTCAAGCATACAGATGTCTGCACAAAGGCCAGCATATGCGCGCACACAAGTGTACACACACACACACACACACACACACCCTGTACATCCAAGAGAAAGAAGGGAAAGAAGGGCTCTTACGGGCTCACCTAGAGCCTCAGAAGATTAACTACTGCAGTCTGTTATTGGTAAAGCAGGAACACATTACCTTGATGAAGCAAAGATAGATGCATTGAGGCCCCCAAAGCAGGATAGGGCAACAGCAATGGGAATGGTCCAGCTGAACAAGCCAAATGTCTGGTCAGCAAATGTCTGGGGACAGAGCACAGAAGTGACTCAGCACAGGACAGGGTTTCATAAGCCTCCTGTACCTATGCTATGTCAGGACAAACACCGTCACTGCTGAGCAGCCCACCCTCTGTCCTAGATCCATCATCTCACCCTGCAGAGCTGGAGGGGTTTCAGAAAGAGACTGAACCATTCAGTATCATAAGATGACAAGCAAATGGAGACTCACCACAGCCACAGCATCACTGTCAAGGACATCTGAAATGCTCAGCACTGTGTAATAGGCCACGTTGGTTAGGATATAGATGAGCGTCACAATTGGCATAGAAATCCCAATGGCCAGGGGCAAATTTCTGTCAGGAGAAGTGAGATAGGACTACCTAGAATCAACTCTCCTTGGAGTCAAGGTTCACCCAGGGATTTTTCTTTAATAGTTCCCTGACTCTAAGTCTTTGAGGCAGGCTCCTCTTTCCCACATGGTCAGGGTGGGTATGAATCCCATGCTCCTTTCTGCTGAGAAACAGAGAGAGAGAGAGACCGACCCTTCTCTGTGAAGATAGCTGGGGCTCAATATTTGATCCTTGCCACAACAGCACCAATCGGTCCCACGGAAAGAGGAGCAGTGTCCTCCAGGGACTGGAGGCCAGCAGGCTGACGGCCCAGAATAAGTTTCCAGCTCCCCAGGCTTCGGTGTCAGCACCAGAGTATGAGGTTCTAACACCTTAGCCCCAGCTGGGTAAGCTACTGCCCACTGGAGGATCTCTCCTGGAGCAAAACCTTGTGGATCCTCCAGTGTAAACCCAAGGGTGAAGAGGCTTTCCCACCTTCTCTCATCCTCAACCTAGCCCCTAATCTCTCTGAGCTAGAGAAGGAGGAGTAGGGAGAAGAAGGGATGAGAGAAAGAGAAAGGGGAGGGAAGAGAGCAAGTGTGCCCACTCTATCAGCAGGAGTTCCAGCCAAGTTGGGGAGTGAGAGTGTGATCCCACCGTTACCTTTCTGGGTTTTTGATTTCTTCGGTTACAAAATTAAGGGTGTCCCAACCTGAGTAAGAGAAGAGGGCAGAGTAGAGGGCGAGAGAGAGGTCTCCCATGTCCCAGGAGGAACCCTCAAAGGCGTCCTGAAAGTGCTCAGAGTGTCCTGTGGGGGCAAAGGCAGGGGAAGGGGTTCAGTGGGAAGGAAGAGGAAGAAGGAGAGGAGAGTTAGAACGTATGAGCGAAGAGAAAGAACAGGGAGAAGCAGTAAGAAAGAGGAAGCGAAGATGGGGAAAAAGAGAAAAGGGTCAAGAAAAGAAGGGAAAAGCAAGCAGGCAGAGGGAAGAAAAAAAAAAAAACAATTTAATATTCAAAGAACAACCACCAGCTCTCCCTGTACTTTATCACCCCACCCATTCCCTCAAGAAACTGCATATTCCTCTAGCACAACTACGCAATCTCAGAAAAACAAAGACATTCCTGGCTGCCTTCTGAAATGATAACGCCTTTTCCAGAAAAGCTCTAATGTAGTTTCAAATGACCTCACAGTAGGCCAGAGCTCTTCTTCCTATTTTTAGAAAGAACCCTGTTTCACATAAAGAAGGCACTTTTAATTAATAATTAGGCCTTCCTGTAGAACTGTCTGTTGTGGCCAAAACCACTACACAATTTGGTCACATAGTTTTCTTATTCTCAGAAGAGAACTCTGTTGCTCTACAGTTGGGCTACTGTTGGGCTACAGTTGCCTGTGGCAGGAAATCACAGGCTATGTAAAAACTGGGGTCCTCACTATGCCTGGGGTAGGCCTGAGCCACTTCCACTCTTGGAGAGCCAGCCTAGGCACCTGTCATTCTCCTTAGAGGCCTCTGGAGACCACACATTTGAAAGCCAAGGGAGTAGCAGGCAGGTTCTACCTTCTGGACACCCTGGAGGTTTTTAACAAGATCCAGACTTATAAGGAAGCCTGGCATTACCCCCTGCAAAAAGAACTGTTCCTTCAATGTGTTAAAAAGGGCTGGGTAGGCAGGAGAAGGGAAAATAGAGGTTTTCGTGCCCCAGGTATGCCAGTCATCATACACAGCAATGGTTTTCTAAGGCACAGATCTTGATAGGAGGATAACTCAAGCTACCCTCTTTGGCCCCAAGATGATCTTGAGACTCAAGAACACTGAGGTGGCTGGCTGTACGAACTTGGCGCATGTGCACAAAGGTACTGGACCAGCTGCCAAGGCACTTAAAAAAAGAGCTTTCTGAACTCCAAAACCATTATGTGTTTAATCCAATGGATCTGAGTTGGGGGGTGGGCAGTGAGGTATCTCAGCTCTCCCTGGTAAATGTAAACAAAGTTGAGTTTAGAGACAATCTAGAGAGCAACTGAGATCTGCCTGGCCAAAGATACCTCAAGACTTCCCTAAGTGCTCAGGAGACTTGTCTACCCTCACTGCCAGTCTACTCTGATTCAGGAATGAAAAGCTTTCTAAAGCCAACATGCAGGAAAGCCAGTGCCAACTTCATATATTTTAATATTTTGCTGAGAGCTGACTTTAAGACTGAATGTTAAATAAAAGCAAATCCAGATGAAGAGTAAAGGCTACAAAATAACCACTCATTCCTATACTCCATCTAACCCCCACACACACACCTTCCCACTCCTCTCAAGGACGGCCAGGTCTTTCTACTCACTGCCTGGCAGTCACAATCCAAAAACAGGGCCAAGCAGGGCTCACTCTATCCCCATCAGTTACATTTATGACCCAATTACACAAGATCCAGGTTTCAAAAACTCCTGGGCTCCCAGCTGCCTTCTTGCAATGTTCCTAGCCTCCACAAAGGGAAAGCAGCACTGAGGGAGACACGGACTCATGTTCAGTTGGCCAAGCCAGCCTGGCCTAAGAAGCCCAGGAACAGATGTCTTGCTCTCCCTGACAGTCTACTATATACACAGAAAGAGCCAAGATTCCCCACGTCCTCCTTACGAAATCTAGGCAAACTCCCAGAGTCATCCACCCTCCTTCCCAGCCCAGGCCCATCTTACCCTGGCACAGTTTAACGAGGCCCATGATAATGATGGCAATGAGTGCTAGGACCTTGGCATAAGTGAACGTGTCCTGAACACGCGTGCCCCACTTGACATAAGCACAGTTCACAAATGTCAGCAGGCCTAGAAGAAAAAAATGTAACATCACTGGCAGGCTGGAGCTAAGGCCACAGTGATCCAATCTCTTCTTATAGAGAGCATCGCTTCTGTCCCTGCCTAAAGCAAAGGGGCCAATGGATCAATCAGAACCAGAAGAACAGGCAATGGAGAGGCATCCACGATCTGCCCATCACTGGTGACAAAATACAAAAGCATGCATTAACACATACACATAAATTCTGACATCCAGAATCATTTTTGGGGAAAAGCCCCCAGGCCCAGGAACGATGGACTTCACCCATTTTTTCCCACTCAAACTCCCAAGGTTCCAAACCATCCAAGGCACAAAATATTTCCATGGCCACAAGAGAGGCCTATCAATTGAATGCAGGTGGCAAGTCACCTAGGAATTACAGAGATAATGTTTTGTATATAAATATATGATGGTTTCACATACATCAATTAATTCCCATAACCCAAAAATATAGACATTCTTACTCTTGTTTTATAGATGAGGAAACTGTGGCTGAGGGAGGCCAACCATCATTCCTTAGCTTATAAGGTCCTCCCCCAAACCCCCCTCCATTTCTATCCAAACCTCCCAATTCTCAGTGAGGTCCATGGAGAAGCGAGCTTACTTGAGCATTCCCCAGGCTCCTGCCTATACTACTAGCTTTATTTCCAGTTCCTTGTGGACCACAGTGATATCTGGGCCCTGTGCTGAGGGTCCCGGCGCCTTACCCCTGCTAAACAGGGACTGCTTTGACCCACTAGGAGGACACAAGAACAGAATACAAGGGCCTCCACAATGACACTGCCAAGTACTGCCCTAAGCCTCCAAAAAAACAGAACTTTTTTTTTAAAGGTTTATTTATTTATTTATTTATTTGACAGACAGAGATCACAAGTAGACAGAGAGGTAGGCAGAGAGAGAGGGGAAGGGAAGCAGGCTCCCCGCCAAGCAGAGATCCCAACGTGGGACTCGATCTCAGGACCCTGAGATCATGACCCGAGCCGAAGGCAGAGACTTTAACCCACTGAGCCACCCACGTGCCCCAAAACAGAACTTTTATAAGAATCTCAAACATTATTACAAAATCTTTTGGGCTCATCCTTCAAGCCACCTCTGTCTACTCCTACCCATTTTGCACTCTCTTCAGCCAGAGACTCTCTCCTTACTGATGCCATATATACACTTAAAAGAAATGTCCTTTACTCCTCATGCTGCCACAGCCAACAGTGACTCCCACTTTCAAGGTCTAGTTCAGTCACTACTTCCCCTGTAAAACCTTCCCCAAATATACCAGCCAGCCCCTCACTGAGCTCTCTCCCCCTGAACCCTACAGACTCCCACTTCACAGCACAGGTTAGTATCTATGCTATACTTATGTGGACACCTATCTCAAGAAGGTCCTCCCTTGGGCATTTGTCTGGTGCTTCCCCAAGAAGACCACAGTTATGGGGCGGGGGGAGACAGACAAAAGCATATTGTCTTACTAAGCTTACTGCCAAGCAAAGAGGGGAAATGATGAGCCCTGGTTGGAATCAAGAGGGTGATGACTTTCACTTAACCACCAATTCCGTAAAGCAAGGCAACTGTCAGAAAGTTGACATTCCTCCACTCAAATGGGAGGAGAGCCTAGAGCCTGTGGAAATAAACACGGTGCCTGAACATGCTCCATGGTACTTTAAGAGCTTTCACTCACTGGAAAGCCTGGGTGGCTCACTTGGTTAAACTTCTGCCTTCGGCTCAGGTCATGATCCCAGAGTCCTGGGATCGAGCTCCGAATCAGGCTCCTTGCTCCAGTGGGGAGCCTGCTTCTCCCTGTGCCTGCTGCTCCCCCTGCTTGTGTTCCCTCTCTCTCTCTTTCTCTCTCTCTCTGTCAAATAAATAAATAAATAAAAGTTTGAAAAGAAGAGATTTCACTCAGTAATAATCTGGCAAATGACACAGGTGCTCACTAGTCAGTCAGGAGTGGGAGCACAGTCAAATGGGAGGGAAGGCCAAAGGAATGCACGCTGCTGCCCTGCTAATCAGAGCTCACTGTGTGGCGCTAAGCCTTCATCAGCTAGCATAAGGATTACCTAGTTAACAGCCACAGAAATCCACAGACTCCTGTGCAATACAGTAAGCATATTCTGAGGTAACCTCCAGGCCCCTGCTCCCGCTCACCTGTCATGGCTGATCACCCAAACTAAGCCCATTCAATTGCCTTTCCCAGGAACAAAGACTGGGGTACCAAGAGACTGAATCTATCAAACAGTAGCAGAGTTGGGAGATACAGCAAGTCAAAGTCACATTCAGGCCCTTGTAATAGAGGAACAAAAACCACAAGAAAACAGAGGAAGGAAGCAGGACTGTGAAAAGCAGCAGAAGTGAGAGGGCGTACAGCTTGTGAGAAAAAGACCAACAGAGAAAGACAGAGAAATTCATAGAAGACAGAGGTGGAGAGACGAGAGACAGAGATAAAGATAGAGAAGGGACAAAAAGAAAGGGAAACAAAAAGATGGACACACACATGAAGAGATTATTTCACAATGCCCTGGCTAGACTCACTGTGCTTCTGCCTTGTAGCAACAAGACGGGGGAGAGAAGCAGACATAATCCTCAGCTCCGAGGCGGCACTCCCTCTCACTTCTACTCTTTCTCCTTCCCTCCACCCTGCTACAGATTTCCCCCTGGCTTGCTCCTCTTGGCACAGGAGTAAATACTGCACACAGTGGCAATTCCATGACTCTGCCAATAAGCAAAAGAAGGCAGCACCTCATGAAAGTCTCTGCAGAGGCCATTCTGAATGACAGCTAGAAAAATACAAAAGAGCCTGTCACAGTGGTTGCCTCTGGGGAAGAAGACCAAAGCTCTGGAGAGGGAGAGAGACTTCTTCCACTGTATACTATTTTATACTCTGAATTATTTACCATGCACATATGCTTCTTCCTCAGTAAAAATTAAACTGCTTAATCTAAAGCAATGTGCAGCCAGGGAGCAAGGCCAGGAGTAGGGTGAGGTGAGGAGGGCGCCTGGTGCACAAAATTTAAGGAAACACTCACTTTCAGGACCACTTGGAGAACCTGAGAGTGAGTGTATCCTTAAATGCTGCCCCAGGAGTCTTGCTTGCTTCATTTACTCTCAGCTCTGCCAGAGAACAGAGAGCTCCAAAAACAGTCTACCAGCAGAAGCCAAGTCCCCTGAGTGTCTTCCTGATTCTAATCAAGAAACATTTCACCATCTGATCCCCACCCCTCCAAACCTCCTCAAATTCCATTGCCATCCAGGACCACAGATTCTATCAGAGCTCAAGCACAAGGCTGGGCCTGAAAGGCCACGTGCTCAGATAAAACTACCATAACCACAACATCCAAGCCTTCCCTCCCCCTTGATCTCCTTTCCTTGCTGGGAAGTCTGCACCACTGAGTGGGGGGCGGGGGTAGGGGGGGTCCCCTGTGAGGGTCTTCAAGTTCTGGGGGCATGATTCTAGGAAAGGAGTACTCACATAGCAAATCCACACCCAATCCCAAAGCAGAAACATATCTGCAAAGTCTCTCTGTGGCAAAAACTGCTAGTCATCTTTTAATTTCTGTTCCTCCATTTTTCCTTAGTAATACAAATTTTAGCTAGAGTGTGGGCTACCTAAATTAAAACTGACATTTACCAGCCTCTCTTGCAGGCAGGTACGACCAAGTGACTAAGTTCTTGCTCCAGGGAGGTAAGCAAAGTTTCATACAAATAAGACCTCAGGAAGTCTCTTTGAAGGGCAGAGCATGCCTTTCTTTGTCCTTCCTGTCAGCCACAGTGCAGACTTGACAGCTAGAGCTTGAGTAGCCACCTTGGACCACCAGCTAGAAGTCACGTGCTGAGGATGGCAGAGCAGTAAGGCAGAAGGAAGAAACCAGGCTCCCTGAAAAATTATGAAGTCACCCTACCAGCCCCATACTGTCTACCATTAATATGTGAGAGAAACAAACTTCAACATATTTGAGCCATGCTGCTTTCAGTTTTCAGGTGTTTGAAACCCAAATTAATCCTGGATAATATACGCACCCTAAGACCAAACTGTGCCTCTCATATTCTCTTTCTGATGAGGAGATCACTTGGCAATCCACAGCTATAGTGACAGTTATGCTGACAGTCAAGGCTCCCTTTTCCCACAGCAACAGGGAGGAAGAAACCCTTCCAATTCCTCCCACAAACAAGCTGGGTGTTACTAAGAGGAACTTAAGGACAGAGGAATGCAACCCTTAACAACAACAGCAACAAGGTGGGAGAAGAAAAAAAGCTGGGGAGAGACCATCTACAAGTATATTAGGAGAAGAATGTTCTACAACCGTCCAGGAGAGGTAAATCCTTCCGAATGGAAATCCTGGAATCTGGAGCTCCCTCTTGGGATACACATGAGTATGTCAGGTATATGCCTCTTTAAGAATCCTCCTTGTTTTTAATTACACAAATATACACATTTAGTCTTATTATCAAACCATCTGAGCTCTGTACAAGGGTAGACTCCAGGGTCTTTGAGATTATGGTAAAAAAGACCCAGTCCTTCTGAGTCATGTCACCTTCAGAACATGAGAGCTGTCTATCCAGAGCAACAACTGACCAAAGTAGGGAAGCATACCCTTCCTTCTCAGAACCCTGCCCAGGCCTGAGTCCAAGACAGCAAGAGACAACAGAAAGCTATTCAGGCATTACACAGTGTTTCTTCACTCCAGTCTCCCCTTTAGAAGTCTCCCTCCTCTGTCTCCTCCTGTTCCTGCTCCTCTCTACTGCCAGCCTTCCCAAACAAACCCTGGAGGTTGAGGGAAGTGGCATCTCAGCAGTAAGCAAGGCTCTGCTTTGATGCCAGTGTCAGTGCTGAGTGACTTCTATGTTGAAATCTTCAGAGCAAATATTCTCGAATGATGTGTGTGAGCCTACACAACAGGCAGAGAATCCCACAAAGATCAACGGACTAAGAAAAACTGTCCTTCCACAATCAAATCAAGTGCTGTTGGGCACCTGAGTTACCAATAATACTGCTGGTCAC